ACATCCCCAGTAGGAGGTGTGCAGGAGGCAGCTGATTGATGTTTCTCTCTCATCGATGTTTCTAAGTCTCTATCCCTCTCCCTTCCTCTCTGTAAAAAATCAGTAAAATATATTTTAAAAATAATAATAATTCAATGCCCTGGATATTAATTCATGTGACCCAGAAATTATAAGCAAGTGAAGCAGACTTTACTCCCTTGTTTTTAGATTGCATTTGAAAATCCCAGTTCCACAATCTATAGAAACAATCAGCCCTGGCAGAAACATGAAGGATTTTAATCTAGGGCAGTGGTCGGCAAACTCATTAGTCAACAGAGCCAAATATCAACAGTACAACGATTAAAATTTCTTTTGAGAGCCAGATTTTTTAAACTTAAACTATATAGGTAGGTACATTGTTATTAACTTAATTAGGGTACTCCTAAGGCTTAGGAAGAGCCACACTCAAGGGGCCAAAGAGCCACATGTGGCTCGCGAGTCGCAGTTTGCCGACCATGGATCTAGGGCAACTGAAAATGTTATTAATTTAATTGAATAGGTAAGGATTTTGCAATTGAAAGGCACACTACATAGTCAGACCCATGATCCATTGCTACATGATGCAGGCATATAGAGCTAGTTTCCTTTGTATTTAGTAAACCCCTTCAACCCCTGTCTTTGTTGTGCTTGAGCTATCAAGATTCTTTGTGTAGTTTGTTTACCCTTCCTAGCTACCCCTTCCCTCTCCTGTTTTTAGTATACCTGCCTCCACCAGCTAGCCTTCTCCTTTTGCCATCATCTCCCTGGCCACCACTACCTGAGGACTTGGGGCTCCAGACTCCTAAATGTTATTATTACCTCATTCTTTGCCCTTCTTTCACTAGTGAGACATCTGTAGCCCCATACTTGCTTGCTTGACCTCATCACTACACCTGTACTCTGGAGTCTAGAGGACTTAGGACAGAGTTGAGCACTTTCATACCCTAGCTCTTTGAATATCTTAGACTCTGTTCTCATTTTAGTTCCATTCTTTCCTGGAAGCCTGGCCCAAGCTAGGTGCTCCCGTACGTATCATATTGTATACAAGTTATCAGGTACCATAGTGTATTATAGCTTGGTGCTGTCTGTACTCATCATGAAATCTCTTGTGTTATATCTTTTCAGCTTGCCTTGGATACTCGTTTCTGGACATGGATAAATCACTTTGTGATATGGGGTTCTTTAGCCTTTTATGTATTTTTCTCATTCTTCTGGGGAGGAATTATTTGGTAAGCAGCTGTATATATGTGAGTAATATGTAAATAGGAAAATAGGTATATGTATATATACATATATATATATATACATTGTATATGTTCCCCCCCCCAAAAAAAAACACACAACAACACAATGAGATGGTGATTTTAAGATATAACCCTCTGAGTATTGAGTAGTATATATTCTATACCCTGAATACATCTGTAGTGACATGAATGATAGCTATATACCATAAAGAGAGAATAGGGCCCAAATAGATAATAATGTAGCTATTTTGTGTAGAATCTTTACAGGATGAGTACTTCCACTATAAATCACATGGGAGGTTATGCTAGAAATTAGTTTCACTTCACAGAAAGGTGTTTACACACTTTCAAGTTGAAAGATTTGACCGGGGACTACCAGAAGGGAGGTCTTTTGAGTAACTTGTGAAGTATTTTGCATTTGAAATATCCCTGAAATTAGCAGTGTTACTGGCTAGTATTTAATATTGAGGACATGCCATCTTATAGAATCAAAACTTTTAAAAGTATAATTAATGTGGCTTCCCCTGATAATGATGTCAGCAGCACAGAACATGGCTGGAGTAAGCCATAAAGATTCTAGGAGTATGTATTTTCACTGGTTTGAGCAAAATCATATATACAAAACATTCCATGTTATCACAGAGATGTAAGGACCATGTTTTTGTCCCTTGAGACTTAATTAGAAGAAATTCTTACTGTTTTGAAAAGCTTTTCAAAATAAAGGCTTTAAGAAGTAAAAATATGAAAAAAACACAATCACTTAGGGAAGTACTGCTCCAAAATATGTAATTACAGCATATATTTGGTGCCTATATAGGTAATTACTGAAGTGGTGAAGCTGAAGGAAGTCTATTTAAAAACAAAACAAAACAAATGAATCAAAGTTGATTAGCCAAATATAATATGCAACTATAATTCTTACAGTACCATAATTCTATCTATGAATCTGTGTAATCAGCATCTGAGCTAATTATGCAAAATTTCCATAAGAATAAAATGTCTCGAAAACCACTTTCTAACTCTTATCCTTATTGATTTAAATAAATCCTTTATGTGATTAAGACATCACCATGTCTGTTTCAATTCATTAGAGGTACTTACTAAATATGAAATATTGATCTTTTATTTTCTTGCCTATAGTGTTGTCCTTAAGTAGAACTGTCTAAGCTACTACATGAATGTAAAATTTATACTGTAAAATAACCAGCAAATTGTGACTAGAAACCATGTGAAACTTCAGCTGAATGCTAGTTGCAGCTAATATCTCTGGACATGTTCAACCTTAAGGCATTGTAGTGCACTCCTTTTTGGGGGAGTGGGCAGTAAGAATGATGATTTCTGAGCCCCAAACTCAGTCCAGTAATATCTTCTGTTTTTTTACTGCTCCCCTGCAAAGCTCCATAGATGCCCAGGTAAAAAAGAAAAATCTAGAGATATTAATCATGAGTATTGTAGGTACTATGCAAAGGAATGCTCTGTGGCTAGCTGTCAGTTGTCTGCTGGAACTTATGGCTCAGTTAACTGTCTAAAAATTAGGATGCTTTTCAAAACTAGAGTGGGGGTAGAGCTCTGAGGAAGTTTTTTTCTGTATAGTAGGGACCCTAGAAAGCCTGTTAACCCAAGCCTTATAAATTTCTCCACCTCACTGTTCTCACTTTTTATTCCTCAGTCTGGTCCTCATATATAGAGCCACAAGCTTGATTTTATCATGTTTCATAAGAGAGCATAAATATCAATTTTTAAAGGAGAATCCAGTTTATCTTCAGTGAGCACTATGTGTGACCTAATAAATGGGACCAACCAGTTATCTGACTAATCCAAGAATAATCTGTGAATCCCGACCTTGATTAGCCGTTCTGTGCTTTAGCTCAGGCAGAAGAATAAAACTTGCTGTGCTTCTCAGTAGTTACCCAACAGTTCAGTGGATGACTTGGAATGAAATCCAACATCAGAATGAGAGGTCCTCCTGGATTTTTGGGCTGCAACACTTATGTCCTTTTAGTAATATTCTGCTGTCTTGTCAACCTATTTGACTCACAGTAGTACTCAGTATATATTTGTGGATGAGAATTGTAGAGTCATCCCATTTGAGAGAGATAAGCTCTACAGTTCTTTTTGTATTTACATAGGGATTGGGGGGGATTATAAGAATGTATTTTAAAATTTGAACATAGAGCACAAATCTACTCTCATATTAATAAAACAGCCAAGTAAATAAAATGCTATTTAACACAAAAATTAACGAATGTTTTTCTTGCATATCTTTGGAGCTCCAGTATTTTCTAATGTAAATAAATATTTTCCAGTTAGCAGCTTTAAAGTTGATTGCTTGGTTGTTTTAAAGTCAAGTGCTTTTTATTATCTTTTTTATTATAATTACTTTTCAAATGTTTGATAAATGAAATCTGTTTATTACTTTAGAATGTTATAAAGAACTTTACTTTTATAATGTGAATAAGGAAAATTTCTTTTAAATACAAAAGACAGTTTTAATTACACTTCTGTTTCATAGGACAGGAACTGATTTGTTTTTCCATTATGTATTTTCTTTCCACTCTAGGCCTTTTCTCAAACAACAGAGAATGTATTTTGTATTTGCTCAAATGCTGTCTTCTGTATCCACATGGTTGGCCATAGTTCTTCTAATATTTATCAGCCTTTTCCCTGAGATTCTCCTGATAGTATTAAAGAATGTAAGAAGAAGAAGTGCCAGGGTAAGAACTACGTTTATATTACAAACTGATTTTTGGAAGGGGCTTCAATATCTACCATGAAATAAAAATCTTATTTAGAAAATTGCATTAGTTACAGCATGTTAAACCCCTCCTTACAGGTTCATCACTTAATTTCCTCTTCTGCATAAAAAGTATAGTAAAAACTTCGTTATCCAATACAGGTGGTAAGTAGTTTCCTTAATAGTGTTCTATGTGACCTTTAGCAATCCATATGGAGTATTACATATGCTCCATATGGAATTTTAAATGGAAAAATGATTTTTTTCTTTAGCCTAGAATTTTCACACCAGGAATTTCCACACCAACATTCCAGCTTTAACCTTAGATATTTCACTGTGGGTTGTTCGCAGATTTTTTTTTCCAGTTGATAATCCCTATTGCCTTTTTCAAAACTTTCCCATTCCTTTAATTATAGTGCTGCTTAATCTCTGAGTTGCTTCTAGCCCTGTCTGTCCAGCAGTATAATTGAACCAAAGAAAATTTTCTGGATGTGATTTCTACATCCTTACCCTCCTGAACACACTTGTAAAAATTCAAGATTGTTTTATAAGTGTGTTTTTATTATTACTGCTTAAATTGTAACATTTTGTGGAAATGAGAAGTTATTGCCCTCTGGCAGCCTAATTGCTTGGTCCTGCATTGTCTGATATCTTTGAACATTTCTATAAAAGTCTTTACAGTGAAAGGGATAGATTAGCCTGGGAGGAAATCTGGCAAATTTTGACCAACACGTTAATTAAATATGTCATTACTGCCAACACTCTCATTTTGCCAAACAAAACCCCGTTTCTATCATATTGACACCAACTATATCTTGAAGCCCTCCCCCCCAGGGCAACATTTTCATGTAATAGTCTAAGCTATATCTCCTGACCTATTTGATCAAATTTGCCAATTAGTTTAGCCACAGTGCTGGTTTGTCTCAATTTTTTTTTCTGGCCTGTTGAATTGATAGAATCCAGTGGTTGTCATCATACAGACATAAGGAACTAAAATAATTATAGTGGGAATATCTTCAGTGATTAGATATATAAAAGAGGAGCATCATTGTTACAACTCAGTATTGGCCCCAATCAAAAGCAAATAGACTACCAGTGGCAAAAGCCACATTGATTCTTGGTATACAAGGCCAGACAGTGTACAGTTAAGTGGTTAGAACTTGCTTTAATTCCCTGCTTCTGCATGCCTTATGGGTAGAACTGGACACAATAATGTTAACCTAGCTAAGACTGCCTTGGTCTGCTCTTTAATCTTTCCAGTAGACCCCTGACTAACTTCCTTCAGCCTGGCATTTAGTCTTAGGATGGGAAAGTGACATTTACTTACATGATTTTTACCTTAATACCAGTTGAACAGGGGTAAAACAGATTGATATAATAGGTTCCTCCCAAAATGGCTCAAGTGGCAATTTAAATAAAGCCAAATAAAAAATGTCACAATAATAAATGGTTTGGGGACTTGTTATAATAGAGAATTTGTCTTTGAAGAATCTCTTGAGTTGTTCTTCCATTCTCCTTATTTGGAAGTATACTTTGGGGTGCTCCTAAATGTTTTTCTTATTTGGGGTAGTGGAGCGCATACTAAATAATGGCTCACACCCAGCTTCATGCTCTATAGACGTTACAAAAATCTTCAGAAATCCAAACTTTCAAACATATTATCTTATCCTCCTCTTTAGGCCCTTTCTTTAAAAAAATTACTTAGGTGATGAGAGCTACTAACAGACATAAAAAAATTAGATACTGGCTGATGGTGACTTTTATATAAATTAAATGGAGGAATTCTACAAAGCAGTCACAGATAAAGACTAGAACATTCCTAACTTCTGTTGAAAGCATGCAATTCTGGGACTGCAGCCCTATTTACATAGCAAGCATAGAATGTTGCTAGGGGTTCAGCATGAACTTTGTTTGCCATGGGTGGAAGAATTCTAGTGTCTGTGCTGTAGCTTGGCATGCTGATGTGCTAGAATGATGAGGAGAATTTCCATAATCACATTCATTCATTCATTCATTCATTCTTACCTTCATTGAACCAATGAACATGTTGAACCACCTAATGATGAACATCTCTCTTTATATGCAATGTCTGAAAGACTAAATGGTTTCAGACACTATGTGATTTTGAGAGTTGCAGATGAGACAGAATGTTGTGGGCACTCAGCAGTGCTGCTACTTTTTTTTCATGTGAGAAAATGCAAGAGCAAAGTAGTGCATATGAATGCATAAAGGCCAACTAAAACATGGCAGCCATGGTTATTCTGATAAGTCACATGTTTACATAAGACCCTATTTGGCTATATCAAAGAGACAGAGCCCACTTCTAAGATAAAGGAGAAAGAATATCTTAATGACCAACAGTCTGCCATCTGGGTGACTTACTACTTTGTTCAATATCCCTTGTTAAGGCATTGGCCTCATTTTAAAGAGAAGTAAAATATTATTTTACACTAGTTTGGCCTCACACCTGACACACTCCCTAATGGGATAAAGGATGTGTCCCTACCTATAAATAGAAGGTTCTTTGACCACCAACCAGTAAGCATCTTGGTACTTTGTACACACTGCCAGAAATGCCTATGGCAAGTAGGCTCACAGTGCTATCCTCATGTTGGTCTTGCCAACATGAAGGGAATTTATCAGTGGGTAGTGAAAATATCTCCATGACTTTAGAGAAAGCAGCTAAGACATTTACATGTAACAATTACAGAAGCAGCCTTCTGGTGACTTCCATTCCCTGAGGGCCCACTATAAGTTAGCTACTATACTAGGTGTTGGTAATTCAGGGATGAATCAGAGGAGGCTCCAGTCATAAGGAGTCTCACTCTGATTAAGTTATAAAGTGGATTCATGTGATATAAATCAGAATAGTAGACTAAATGATATGGCTTGATTTAAGACAACTGAGGTATTTCAGTGTCTGCATCACTACCTCCTGAAGCCACCATAGCCAAGTTCTGCCTTGGCAGTAGCATTGTAAAGAATTATGCTATCTTCAAAAAGGTGAAGGGATTGAAAAGTACAGAATAGTTATGGGATGTAAAGTACAGCATTGGGAATATAGTCAATAATATTCTAATAACTATGTATGGTGTCAGATAGGTACTAGATTTATCAGGATGATCACTTTGTAAGTTATACAATGTCTAATCACTGGGTTGTATACCTAAAACTAATATAATGTTGGATGCCAACTGTAATCGAAAAATAAAAAGTAAATTATTTTTTAAAAGGTGAGGCTAAAAAGGAATTCTGCTGTCTTCAGAAATAGGTTCCCTAAGTAATTTAAATCAAAGATATGGTTAAGTTATATATTCCTCAGCTATATTTTCAGCAATATGCTTAATTTTTTTAGCTAAAATTCCATCATTAAGGATCATAGGTCTTTTCTGTTGCTTATAACTCAACAAAGCTGCACTGCCATAGTGCTGCCAGTATATTATGAAACTACTATTGAGCACTGAACAGTGGAGCAGCAGGATAACACTTCGAAGAAAATTTAAAGTTTAGGATTTGGGGTATTTTAAAAAATTGTGTTCCCCTCTGAACACAATTGTTGGGCTATCTCTCAGTCAGTAAAATACATCTAGACTTTTTGGCCAAGTAATAAATACCACTTCCCATTTCCAATGGAGGAATTTCCACATATAAATTTTCCCATGTAAACCACAACAATCAAAAGGGAGGCTTGACTTTGCCTACTAGACATAGGGACACTATAATCCAATGGGAAGGGACCCAACAACAAGGTGAAGCCTAGTATGGGATGTCTGCGCAAACAAAAAGAAATACTCCATTATGAAGGAAGCTCTTTCAGAGTGGAAGACAGGAAAAGGAAGACTGTCAGCTACCTGAGCAAAATTCCCAGAGAAAGCACTTTGAAATTTTTGGAAAATGTAATTTATCTTTATAATAACAACAGTGACAATCATGATTACTATTGAAATGCTGACAGTCACGTACACCCATTGGTTCTGAGGAAAATAACACTATGAACTGGGTTAGACAAAAATAAAGTTGAATCCTAATGTCATGGCTGTTGAGATGGACATTTATGCATTGGCCTCTTTGACATACTGCTAACTGAGCCGGTGTCAAAGCTCTCTAGATGACTGCAAAGGAATGTGGAAATTTCATACTGTTTCAGCTCATTATCTCCCATCCTTCTCACCTCTCTCCCCTACCAATTGCTAGCTATATCAATTTGATTGCTTTAGATATTTTCCATGCTCTCTACTGCCTTCTGTACTTTCATATTTCCTTTTTTCCGTTATAAAGTAACCGAATCTATAAGCTTCTAAATTTTATGATTCATAGAAATAATTTTATCTTCGATGGTTGGATACAAGGTTTTGAGTGCACCAAAATATGCTTGTCATTACAGTCTTAAGTAGATAGGCTTGTATATTAAACATGGGGTTGAGGGACTTGGTATCATGTTAATCTTGTAAGGTTTTTGCCCACAAAATAGAAGACAAAGCAATTTTTAATGAAAAAAATTATAAACTAATATTTCTCTAGCTTTATCCATTTATAATTTGCATGTTACCAACTTTATTTAAGGTAAAATATGAACAGGAAAAATGTAGTAATTTTAAAACATGAATAAGTCAAACTATTTGCCTTTAAAGTTTGTTTATTAGATTCTGCTGGATACATGTATTACTTTAACTGGTATCTTTTTTTAAGCCTATTGTCATTAGTCATTAAGTAGATGATATGGGTAATTAGCAGCATTGTTAAATTTATCCCTGCAGTTGACTACTCATCTTCTGTTTGCCTTGGGCAATGCCAAAACCAAGTCTCAGGCATACAATAAGAAAGAAAAACATAACCTTTTAGGTTTTCTGATTAAACTATATCAACACTTGCTTTTTCTAGGTGTTTTAAAGGAAAATTTTATAGCTCTTTAGCCTACCCTTTTAAAGAAGGCTCTGTAAGAAAAAGTAAGAAACCCATCAAATTATGTTAGAATAAATGTAGTTAAGCACTAGCCCAGAGACAAATGATTCTAAAGTGTGGTTTCATCAAATGTTTTCCCCACAGTGCTTGTTTTGATTAGGTTTTTAACCTGCAGCTGCCCAAAGGCAGTCAGTCCCTTCATATTGTATCTGTGTAATTGCATAAGGGAGCTAGTCACTTCAAGGTAGGTTGGTGATGCAGCCTGGACATAGCTCTCCAAACAGTGGATTTTGAACAGTGTAGCTTAGTGAAATAATGATTAGAGATAAGCCTTATTTCAATGAGAAGCATGTTTTTAAATTATTTTATTCAAAATAATCAATTTTCCCATTAACTAAATAATCTTAAATTGATATATAGAGAAGTAGTAGTTTGCACATATAATAGACTATTCCTAACTCTAATTCTACTTTTACTTGTAACGTCTTCAATACTAACATGCCATTTCGACTTTTAATTCTCAGGGTTTCTTTTTAAATGTCTTACATTTCAGAGAATATTTACTTTTTTTTTTTTTGGTTTCTGCATTTCTCTTTTTTCTACTGCAATTTTCCACCTTTTGTGCAATTGTGAACAAGGTAACGAAACGCCTCCCTTCCTCAGGAACATCTACTATCTTCATGCTTTCTCAAACTTCCAGCAATCACAGTTTCTCTTGGAGTGAATAAGGTGATTTCCTTTCTTAATGTACCAACTTGCTTGCATTCTCATTTGCTTGACACCATTTTCTGGTTCTCTATGAAAAATTACTTCTCATGACTCATTTTTATATCTTCTACTGATACTTAAAAGAGTATTTGTCATTTTCCTTTAATCATTTGTTCATCTTCTCAAATTGTCACACTGGACAGGAAATTATTTCAAAAACTTGGACAGTAAGTCTCTGGTCTCGTTGATTCCTACTGTGCAATAGAAGCCACGGCGTGTTAGAGCCAATCAGTTCACCAACACAGGACTGTTTTGCACAATTTCTCTTTGTTCGGTACACTGACAGCACTGCTACAACTCTCAGAGGTGTTCACCAAAAGGATGGTATGGTTTACTAATCAAAATATATTGACTCATCTACCACATAACCTACCAGTGTCATTTCAAAAACCCAAGTTTGGCACATATTACTAATGTCTGTATACTTCTACCATGAAAACAATTCAATTCAAGTTGGACACTTTCTTAGGTCTTTAAATGTATTCATTTAAATGTTATGCATTTGTTATACTGTAATCATTTGTACTTTTGGCCAGAAGAGTAGTCTATAGAAAGTGATTTTTTTCTTCTACATTTTTAGCACCAGGTAGGTTAACCAATCTTCAAATCCTTTAAGTATTTTTACCTCACTATTACAGAGAAATCTGAGCTGTAAAAAGGCATCTGACTCATTATCCGCCAGACCTTCAGTCAGACCTCTTCTTTTACGAACATTCTCAGACGAATCTAATATATTGTAACAGGTACCTAGTGTTAAGTGGGCTGGCTTTAAAGAAAAAGATTAACAGCATTATAAAGAAAAAATGAAACTATCACTCTAAATTTTTTCTGCTGTTGGTGTGGTGAACTTTATATTATTCTTTGCTAAAATATAAAGATGCATTACTTGGAATATGTGGAAATATGTATTTTAAATTTGCTACCCCCCCCCAAATAAAATTTTAGGTATTTTCCAGAGCTGAAGGGTAATCCAATATATTTAATTTGTAAGGGGCAAGTAGTCATGGCAGTGCCATCATATGAAAATGCTCAATAGTAATCAAGAAATATAATTTTGATTTTAAAATGTGTTTGGAAAATTGAAAAGAAATATTCCAAAATTGCATCTGTATAATATCAAGTCAGTTTAGCATTGCATGTTCTTTTGGGAATTATGTGAGAATAATTCAATGTGTTTGTATCTCCATGTGCTGTGTCTGTGTGTTTGCAGGTTTAAACTTAATGTCCTTGTAAATGTCTGATCCCCAAATATATATTAATGAGCCAGTCTAATCACTTTTAATGCCAAGTTTTATTCAAGCTAAATGTTTCAACTTTCAGAGGTAGTAAAATCTTTCCTAGCCATTCAGGGGGGTGCTACCCTAATTATATAAAATGCTTCATAATTAATTTTTCTAAAAATGAGTAAATTCCTTTTATATCATTCTTTCATTTGCCCAAAAACTATTTGGGAGGAATTTATATGCTATGGGAGGAATCCTTGAACTCGGAATGACTCCTCCATATGTATTTTGTTTCCCACTGCAGGGGCCTCTGTTACCCCAGACCTTTATAGGTCTTTTGTCCATTAATGGAAATTTAAAGTAATTTATTAATGAGGTTTACGAGCTTGTCAGCTTGGAAACAACTCTGTACAGCTTATGGCAGGGCTGTCTTTCATGCACACATAAAAATGAATGATCATCATGAAAGAAATTGCAAGTCAGTTCATTTTGAAGCTAAGAATTATAAATCCACCTCATAGGCCCACTCTTTCATTAGCTATCAACTTCCCCACAGTCCAGCAAAGGAGAAATATTGAACGAATGGATTGATAACGTTTTTTCTGCATCTGCTGTGTTATTTTGGAAGCTGACTAATTTTGCCTCTGTCAGCATCTCCCTCGCCCAACCCCCATTTTGAGCAACTCACCTGCTTATATTTTCCCTCAGTAATGAATCTGCTTCCCAGTAGCCTTCAAAGTTTTTTGCCCCTTTGTCCCAGATAGCCTTGTCCTAAGCTGTGTGGTGCATTTTAGCCATACTGTTTCCAGCTAATTGTGTATCCCCCTGGATTGCTTTCTTTAGCTTGGTCTGTGATTTGGGGGATTGGCTGGGTAGCAGACACTGCTATTGCTTTTGGACTCTCCAGGGCCTTAACTCCTACAATGCCTAATATAGAGCTGAGGAAATTATAGCTTTTAAGCAATTGTTTTATTTTAACGTAAATTTATTCCAGGAATTCATATTCATGTGGAATTATTTCTTCTCCAAGGAAAATATTTGACAAATTAATTTAGCCCCACTGAGTTTGTCCCATGGTTGATAAGGTGACACCTTTTACAAGTTCTCAATGTGAATGGCAATCTTATTTTCGTTAGTCACCATAACCTTATCTGAAAAATTAATATTAAAATATGGAACATAAAAAGAAATAGAAGGTACTCTGGAGGACTTCTAGTCCAACCATGGTGAGGAAGATGCACCAAGAAAATAGCACACCTCTTTAAAGCCTTCCACTACTCAGGTTTAAAAAGGTTGGATTTTAGAATAGAGAACCAAAGTTAGTCTCCCTCCCATGACATAGGGCTTCTACTTTTCAACATACTTGATTTACACTCAGTTATCCATTGTTCTGTCATGCCCCATCCCAATCATAGCATTTGATGATCTTTAGAGGACAGAAAATAATCTACAGATTTTTAGGGATAGTTTTTTCTTTCCTAAAAAGATAATAAATAAGAAAAACAAGAGTCATTTGACCCTTAGATACATCATCTACCAAAAAGAAAATTAACTTCACCCTGGCTGGTGTAGTACAGTGGTTAGAGTGCCAGCCTGTGCACCAGAGGGTCTCGGATTCGATTCCCAGTCAAGGGCATGTACCCGGGTCACATGTGGGAGGCAACCAATTGATGTGTCTCTCTACTCCCCTTCTCTATCTCCACCTCCTCCCTTTCATTCTCTCTCTAAAAATCAATGGAAAAAAATATCCTCACTCCTTGGGTGTGGATTAAAAAAAGAAAATTAACTTCAATATTACAAGGAGGAAACATGTTTCTTTCAATAAAGAAAAAGTACTTCCACAGCATTCTTTCAAAACAATACATTTTCAGATACTCTGTCAAAATTTGTACATCCAAAACACAGTAATTTGTTCATTCATTCAACATGTCCTGAGAATCTGCTATGTGCCAGATACTGTGCTAGGTGCTGAAGATAGAAAGATAAATAACATGTCCCTGTTCTCAAGGAGCTCATGGGCTACAGGAAGGGATCTTGGTGAGGTAAGCCTCTGCTGTGGTGGATAGTCCTAGTGATAACAACTGTTAGGAGAACCCTGGAGAAATCCAAAAGCAAAAAGCAAGTCTGAATCTTACTCAGCTAACAAATGATCATTAAAAACTGGTTATTATGTCACTCTTTTTCCCTGCATGTGAATAAAACTTGGCACTTTGTTAAGACAGTCGCTTTACTCTCATAACAAAATTTACTACTTGATTTATTTTTGAAAATACTATACAGATGGTTTTACATTGTTATTATTAAAATAAACCTTTTAACTGTGTATATTTTAAATTTTTCAGAATCAGAATCTTGAACTGCCTATGTTATTGTCCTACAAGCATATTGACAGTGGTTACAGCTAGAAAAGAAAGCATGAAGAAACAACTACAAAAAGTTAATCATCTCAGGATACTCGATATGCAACAAACTAAACAACTCTCTTATGTCTAGGGTTCAGAATAAATGTCCATTAAAATACCAAATGACTATTGTAAGCATTTACAGTTATTGTAAGTAGCCATTATGGCCAAAGCTCTATGTTACAAATTATATGAAAGTTGAAAGCAAGAATATTTACAATTACTGGCTTTAGATAGAATAATATAATTACCAAGTGGGTGTTCTTTTAACCCATGAATTTTGTGAATGGATTTAAATAGAATAGTATAAAATAGAAGTCATGCAATGGGAATGAATAGATTTTGCTAATATTTCTTTTTCTGCCTGGTGGAAGAAATCAGCTCTTTGGATCATACTTCTTGTTCCTGCTGAATGATGATCTACCTTAAATTATTTTTTCAACACATGAAAGGAATACTTGAAAGTATAAGAAGACTAAATGATATCAATGCATCAGATAGAATAGTTAATTTTTTCTGTTTACCCACATGCTAATTTTGTCTTGATAGAATGTCCTTGTCAAGAAATGAACACTTACGTGGAAATAGTGTTAGCCCTGGGTGTTTTCCTGAGAATAAAAATTTTTTTTATTTAATTTTATTTTTGTTCTTCTGAATAAACCCCAAGTATTGAGTGTTTGGCTACTAGCTTTGAAAATAAAACATTTCCAATCACTTAGTAGCCCCTCAAAATAGTTCAGATATAACATATTTTTCCCATATTTTACTAGGATCTGAGGTAAGGTGGGCCAAACCACAGTTATATGAAAGCAAAGGGCATTCTGAACATCAGTCTTTTATGACTTTGTGTAGAGAGGAAATAAGAATAGCTTCTTTCAAACTTAATGGTTTTTATTTGAAAGAGGCTACACATATGCATATATGCAGCACTTTTTTTTTAACTTGCCAATTTGGGAGGGAAGGATCCATCCCAGGATGGTGTTTCAGCCGGCAAAGCCATAACTGAACATATATGCTGTCTCTCTTAGCAAACTTGAATGGGTAATGGTCTAATACTAAATCATGAGATTCACATTGGTAAAGTCCTCAACTTACTGGGCTAGAAAGAGATTTTATCCTGCTAATGAATCCACTTAAAACATAAAAATTGAAATATCTTTATTACATGGTAAAATTAAACATATTTGGGGGGATATAAATGACTTCATTTGACAACTCGATTAAAATGGTCTTTTAAAAAGTGTTTTCATACCAGTTTCCATTTTTGGATGTCTTTTCTGACATGCCTGTACAATTATTAGTGTTATATTGTACCTTTTTGGAAAAGTATTTGATTCAATCTGTACCAATCTATTTATATAGTCCATATGGCACATTTGATTCTTCCATGTATATTTTGTATTAATATTTAGGTGTAATTTTTCTTAACTTCTAGAAGGACATATTTCACTTATCAGAACCATTCCATCATTACATTTCATTATTTTCTTTGTTGTCATCTCTCAGTATTATTTTTGAGTATTTTCTTAGGTGTCATTCACACCTTACCTGGTAGCCTGTATTTGAGGTAGTCTGCTGAAAAGTCATATATTCTTTCCCTATTCCAAAGAGCCAAAAACTCAGACCCAGGAAAGCTTATGATTTTTTTTTAAGAAGTACTTTTTAAAAAACATTTTAAAATTGATTTTTTTTTTTTTTTAGAGAGAGAGGAAGGGAAAGGGAGGGAGGGAAAAGAGAGGGGAGAGAGAGAGAAGAGGAGAGAAACATTGATGTGAGAGCAAGACATTGATCCGCTGCCTCCTGCATGCCCCCTACTGGGGATCAAACCCAGGCACAGGTCCTGACCGGAATCAAACCGGCAACCTTAAGGTGCATGGGACCATGCCCCCAACTGAGCCATATCGCCAGGGCTTGTTTTTATAGTTGTTGCTGTATTGTTATTGTTTTATGTAAGAACTATAGGGACTGTGAATACAAATGAGAGAGCCACAATGGATAAAGAGTCTTGTTTAATGCAGAACCATTGGAGATATGACATAATCAGAATATCTGTGGTAGTGGAAATATAACTGGTAGCATATAAAATTCATTGCAGCCTGGAAGAAACATGAGTAAGGGGCATTTAGAATTATATCTCAGCTACACATTACTGCAGTTCAAATTCACAAAGGCAGTGATGTTTAATATCATGGTTTAGATCCTTGAGAGGGACCTGACTTTCCTTTTTGAAAGACATTTTATTAATGAGCTAAAAAATTGGCTAGTGTGGGGTTAACAGATGGAATAACTTGAAGTAAGGTATCCAGTATGCCCTATAATCGAACCACCTTATTTTGTGACAGGGAAGAAAATGTAACACTAGGATCATATTACATCATTTGAATAATTTTGAACTATCAAAATGTCCTTGTAATTTCACAACTGTTGTCAATTGTTTGAGGATGTTACCTACTAAACTGAAAAAATAAATTCAATACCTACCACATTTACACCAGCAACAGTATAAATGCAAGCATAAATTTGCAAAATTCATAATAATTTAGTGATGAAATTTTTAATAACATGCAGTATATAAATGTGCAGATTTTATGCAAATGTTGATAAAATCATTTTTCAGCTTGCAAAATGGGACTGCAGTATGACATTTTTCACTTAAGCAATTTTTTACATCTATGTTGTTGCTTTCTATAATGAATGTGAATGCCATCTTTTATGAATGCAACTTTTTCATTACAGAAATTTTGTTTGATCTAATCAATAAACTTTGGTTTAATATGATTGATATTTTAGCCTCTTTTCTGGAAACATCTCAGTTTGACATGATATGGAATGGAAGGGGTTGATGGAGGGCAAAAGGGGACATATGTAATACTTTCAATAGTAAAGTTTAAAAAAAAACAATATGGAAGCAGTTTGGAGAAGTTTCTAATCTCTTTGTACAAGTCACAAAAGATTGACCATTTATATATGTGTTCAACTGGCATTTTAGGGCGGTATATAATTTGTGAAGTTTATGGTATTGGTAGGAATCCTATATAATAAAAGAGAAACATGATAATTAGCCGTACCTCCGCTACCCTTCCCATTGGCTAATCATCATATCCTTATGCAAATTAACTGCCAGCCAAGATGGCGGCCGGCAGCCAGGCAGCTGACGCGAACAGGGAGGCTTGCTTGCTCCAGTGACGGAGGAAGCCAGGTTCCCCGC